AACTCATGCCGAGTTGAGCCGGATTCCAGTCACGCATTTTGTGCGGAGGATTACGAAAGATGTCTGGGATTCAATCCATTCCTGGGCTCGAACTCAATCACAGCCCCGACAGCCTGTTCTAGCGGCGCTACAGGTGCCTCAAACACGGCGGCTGTCGAGTCGACCGTTGTTGCCAACACGCGCTCAAGGATTTCCAGCTCCTCAGCACCCGCATATGGCGGGAGCTCATCTTCTCCTATTGGCATTGACACCACGACTCCTGCTGTCAGCACCGACACCAGTATACCTGAAACATACGACTGTGTTACCGAGTGCAACGATGACTATAACACCTGTCGCACCGCACCAGACGCCAATATGGCCAGCTGTGCCGCACAGTACGCCCAGTGTCTCGGATACAACCCTTTCAATGGAGGGGGATCGCTAGTTACTCCGACTGCTTGCTCTGTCCCTGCTTCCGTCACCCCTCAAGTTACTCAGTCGAGTTCAAGTCAGCAACAATCACAGATGGCTTCAAATTCTGAAACTTCTCAACCTGATACAGCAGCTGGACTGGCAACATCGTACCAACAACCAATAGCCACTTGCGGTGCTGGTGCATGTATGGGGGGTACCACAACCGATGGTGGAACACCAGGGATGGCGACTGAGTCCCCGGTAATTGTTGACTCGGCTGGAAGTATTAAACCTTGGATAAGCCTTGTGGCTATGGCAATTGCTGTTGCACTCTAGGGCTGGGCACAGAACTACCTGACATAGACTCCGGTCTTGTATTCGCCTTGCTAGAGCATAAAGCTGATAGGAGGAAAACATAGAACGCGACTCTTGTACTCCCTTCGGGGCAAGGATATACCTCTAATGCGCGGTGCTGAGACGGGTCGCCTTGGTGGACGCATTGGAGCTTATGCCCCCTGCAGGGAGGCACAAGCGTCATATGCTGGGGACTTCCTTTCATTAGCTCTACGCTGTAGCAAGGTGAATACAAGAGCTGGATGTGTGGTTGGGAGCATATAATTGCTCGATTAGTGTCGGCTTGTTCTCTGAGCGCACTTCCTATGTCATGTGAGCCGTCAAATCGGTGTAGGATTCGACTCGGGGAGGTTGCAGCCTGTCGTCATCTTGTTCTGGTTGGTCGGGGCTTGTAATGATCCATATCTGAAAGGTTTTGGTCATGCTTTGCAGTTCAGAGAACCAATCAATCTATTGTTCCGTTGACCCAAGCTTTACAAGTATGGTTGCAAGAGACGTTTTCACTCGTTTGTCAGGGTCTATTACTTCGTTGATGCTGGTCGCAGAATAGAAAGATACGAGAAGTTGTCACTCGCAATTTCGAGATGGCTCCGCTTAGTGAATTGTCGCTTCCACGAGACAAACAGACAATTAGTTAGATACCGTCGCTCATACTGTGTTATGGGCTGAACCTAGTCGTTGAAGTTGACTAAGAATTGTATTTCCGCGCTGCCCCATCGTCTTTGTTCGTATTGATTGTTCCATACTCAGGCAAGTCAGATTCACGGCCTGCAAATATCATTAATCAGCTAGTGGAGACAAACAGCGGAAGACTAACCGTAACGGGCAGTATCTCATCAACCATCGATCCCTGAGCAGGCCTCACCATCCGCAAACAACCTTGCGCTTACCATAGCAGAGGATCAGCAAATCTTTTCCCCATGAAACCAGCGATGAGCCGGATAGGATTGACTCGATACGATGTGAAAGCCTGCAAGGCCTGTCAATCGTCCAAGAGGAAGTGCACCAAGCAGCAGCCCAAATGCCGCCGTTGTGACCTTCGCGGTTTGGACTGTCTCTATGAGCCTTTACCCAACACCTTTGTCTACCAAGCTACACAAAACTCTGGGGGACTAGCTTTCCCATTGGCAGCCTTACCAGAGCCGGAGTTGTTGCAGTCAGGCCAAGACGACAGTTGGTCTGAGCTGGTAGACGTAGGAGTGGACAGTCTTATAGGCCATCACGGCACTCCGGGTACTATCTCTTTAGAAGACCTGAAAGTGGCTTGGTTCCTTGATCCAGAATCCTGGAGGGCAGTTCCGATCCGAGAATCAAATAGGGCACATCTAACGACGGACATGATCCGGGGGCTTCTGTACCAAACAAGAGACTGGCTGGATGATTGGACAAAACGCGGAAGTAATGTGTTTGTGCATCATGAACTTTACAAAAATAGTCTCCCTGACTGCATCAGCGATGCTTTCACAGCACTGTCTTCATATTTGTCAAGGACATCGGAGACCAGTGAAATGGTGCTCCGGATTACAGAGCAGAAGGCGGAGAGGTTATTGGTGTCTGAGGGCAATAGAAACACAGCTGGAGACATTCTGAGTAGCCTAAGTCGTGTACAAGCACTCCTGGTTTATTGCACGATCCGACTACTGGACGGTGATCTACGCCAACGTCACAAGGCGGAACAGCATCTTCAGACCCTAGAAGATTGGACAAAAGAAATGATGAATAATGCTCTCGAGGCTACGAATAACGGAGACATGATTGTCAAGAACCATCTCACGAATGTAAGCCCTCAATATTTCACATTGCCGCTGCTTTTGGGGCAGTTCTCTCCTGAGCAACTACTCTGGCATTCGTGGGTACTGTCAGAGTCTGTTCGAAGGACATGGTGTATATCAATGGGCCTTCAATCGGGCTATGAGCTGCTGAAGACTGAATCTGGTCCCTGTTACGGGACGTTGCCTATCACCACGAGAAAGGGGCGTTGGGAAGCGAGATCGGCTTTCGCCTGGACAAAAATGTGTGCGGAGAGCAACATTGGCTTTATGTGCAGGAATGGCCATGAAAAGGTCATGTTGGATATGGATCCCGGAAATATTGACGACTTTGCGTTATGTATGATGGAACTCGATATTGGTCCCGACAGGATGGCAAGATGGAGATCTGAACGCTCGGGGTGACATAACTCGACAGATCGTAAGCCATGAGTAAGATAAGAGGGAAAGGATAGTTAATGTAAGCTCAGTGGGCAGTTCCGCTCCTGCTTGCGGATGCTTTGTTATTACGCCCCGCGGATCCGCAACCCTCCGCTGGCTGAGTCAACAACAGGAAAGGAATGTATCTATCAAGAATCAAATAGTATTTAAACACAATGAGATTGGCCGTAATAAACCACATACTTCTTCATCTCAATAACAACTTCTCAACTCCCCATCTCCAGAACCTCAGAACAGCCCATCATGGCAAGGCAGTGGACTCTCAACGACCAGCAGGGCTTTGAGATGTCACTCAAGTACGAGACCAAATTGCCCATCCCGTCCAAAGATAAGCTAGGTCCAAATGATGTTGTAGTCAAACTCCATGCAGCCAGTCTCAACTATCGAGACCTAGTCATTGCTGCATCAGCTGTACGTATCTAGATGTCCAAAGGTGTCGAACTTGACATCAACTGACAAAGCTTAGCAATTCGGCCCCATCACCCCACCAATGGTCCCTCTATGTGACGGAGCAGGCTCAGTCGAAGCTGTTGGCTCTTCTGTCAAAGACTTCAAACTTGGCGATCGAGTCATCACTTTCCCTGCACCAGACGTGGTGGTGGAGAGAGGCAGCGATGCTGATGTCAACATGTCAGATGTACCGACCATGCTCGGCTTGGGTACGAAAGGAACACTTCGTACCCATGGAGTATTCTCGGAAGGAGCTCTCGTTCATGCGCCCGAGTCTCTCGATTGGCTTCAGGCTGCCACTCTCCCCGTCACCTGGATCACAGCTTGGAACGCTCTCTCGGAACTAGGCAAAGACCAGATTGGACCACACACCTGGATCCTGGTTCAGGGAACTGGAGGCGTCAGTGTAGCGACCCTGCAACTTGCATCATCCTTTGGGTTCACTGTCGTTGCGACTACTTCATCTCAAGAGAAGGCGGAGAAGTTGAAAAGACTTGGTGCAACTCACGTTGTCAACTATCGCGGGAATGCTACTGGATGGGGCAAAGAGGCGCGATCTTTGACACCTAATGGAGTAGGCTTCGATATGATTGTGGATATTGGCGGTGATGAGACACTCAAGCAGTCACTCGAAGCAGTGCGCCCTTATGGGTCTATCCAAGTCGTTGGTGCTGTTGCGCAAGACACCGAGGTCGTTCCCATGATGGGGGCTCTCATGTTCACGTGCACTATTCGTGGGTTTCTCATGGGTAGCCAGAATCAGTACAAGGATCTTGTGCGATACATCGATGAGAAGAAGCTCAAACCTGTATATGATGGCACGGTCTTTGAGCTGGCAGATGCCAAGGAAGCTTACAGGAAGCTGAAGGAGCAGAAGCACTTCGCCAAGGTCGTCATCCGCATCGACCACGACTAGATCTGACGCTGAGAGAACGAGGTAGAGCTTTCAGAAAAACCAGGGTCGGAATGCTTTGGAATTACAATTATTTATCTAGAAGTATGTCTATTATCGTTGAATCATATGAGAGTTGTTGGTCCTCTATCTCTCCAAACATTGACGTCAGCAGCCCCAAAGCACCCAAGCCCGCCATTGTGTAGAAGATCGTCCGAAAACATTCGAGGTAGACTCTTAGTAATTCATCAAGTGTTGTCTGAGAAATGTCCAAGGACCTGAATTCTTTAATAAAAGCAACGGCCCTGGATGCATCCTCCAAAGGCGCCAGAGGCCCCGCAAGTTGTAACGGGCTTGAGGCGATAGTCTTTGAAAAGACAGTGTTGAATATTGCAGAGGCAATGGTCAAACCGATCAAACCTCCAAACATACGAATCGTGAGAAATTGCCCGATCGCAACGCCTGTATCGTCGACATTTTTGACGCTGGCTTGCATCGGTAGAAGATTGAGTCTAAGAAGAGCAACACCTGTTCCCCATATCACGGGGATTCCGTAGAGCATTGATGAAGGCGAACTGAGATTTAAGATTGCCAGAATCCCAGTACCGAGAGCCAACAAGGCCCATGAGAGCCTCAGTAGCCAGGTATAGCCTCCAAATAATGGTACCATCATCATAGAGATTACTGCGATGAACACGCTAATGATAGACGTTGGCAACAGGAAGACAGCTGACTTGATCGGCGTTTCCAGATACACAGCTTGATAAATCAGAGGCAGATACTGAAGTAACGAAACGAGGATGGCTCCGTGAATGAACCCTCCAAGCAACGTCATGCTGGCAGTGATGGAATGGAACAGCCGATGGGGCATGATTGGTGCCGCAGGCTTCGCTTCATAAAAGACGAAAGCGACAAGCACCAAGACACCCAGGATCATAGGAACCAAGGTCTCCCATGCGGCCCACGGAAACAAGGAGCCGGCCCAACTGAGCGGCAACACAAAGACAGTGATGCCGGAGACAACGAGACCCATTCCAACCCAGTCAAGGCGTTCGATGTTGCTGACAAGCGATGCGTCCACCGTGACAGGCCGTAACTTGAGAAAGAAGAAGACCAAAGGTGTTCCAAACCCAAGAATGGGGAGATTGATCCATCCGATCCATCGCCAAGTGACGTACGTAGAAAACAAAGCACCCACAGATGGTCCAAGAACATTGCCCACTGCATTTGGAATACCCATCAAACCCAAGTATTTTGATCGTTCCTCGAGAGTTGTCATGTCAGCGAGGATGACCTGAATAAGAACATCGATTCCACCGCCGCCAAAACCCTGGAGTACACGGCCCACGATTATCGTTTTCATGTTCTGAGCAACAGCAAAGGTAATTGATCCGATAAAAAATAGCCCAATGCAGACGTAGAGTGGTGGTTTTCGGCCGAATGCGTCTGATATGCTTGCCCATACCGGTTGCATCACAAGGCCGCATAGTGTATAGGATAGATTGGCCCAGAAAGACTCTAGACTCGAACCTTTGAGGTCATTGGCTATTGTCTGGCATAAGTGTCAGTACAAAGGCGATTGCGAGAGGAGTACGAAAGATGAAGATGATCTTACCGGCAATGCAATGCCAAGTGCTGTTGCATCTACTTGGAACACGAAAAGTGTAGCAGACAAACCTATGAAAGCCAATTTGAAGGCCACAGACTTTTTCTGCTTTGGCTGCCTGCCTTCATCAACTTGCAACGCTTCCGCATCTTTCGATGATGAATTTTGCTCAGCTTTTGTTACTGTCTCAAGTTCAATATCATGACTCTGCTGTACTGGAGGTGCAGATATCACTTGGCCGCTTATTCCGGCGTCTGATTGTTCCATCTTGAGCACTCCACCGGACCAATCGAGCCATACCCTTCATGTTTATGGCAGAGGCAAAACTGATACAAATTTGATTACAAGATGTGTCACGTGTTGTGATGAGGCCTCCTTGAACCACTACAAGGGGTTTAGCGGAGATTCTGAAGGATCAAAGGATCCATAATACCCGGCTGGAACGGAATGAAGCAACTGACAAGACAGTTAGACAGGATCGTTCAAGCACCATAATCTAAGCAGTACTTATCCCAGCTTACGCTGAGACCAATCACCCTTTGATCATGACAGACTTATAATTTCTTGTTGAATCTATCTTAGGCATATTGCATACGAGATTCGTAACGTGTCGGAGTTTTGGGCACCAGGAAATGGGTAAGACGGACAGCCCCCCTGTTCGCTAGTGCTTACGGGTCATTTCCTACAGTTCCACCGAGCGTCCAAGTCAGGGAACCATGAAATACCAAACAATGGCCTCACGAGATGCACTGATTGTTCGGAAGAGAACGAGAAACAGTGTTCCCAGGAGGAGAACAGGCTGCCAAACATGCCGGTCAGTATACTTCTCATTTTCTCCCACCAGTGATTTTCACATCTGAGAAGAAAAGGGGATGACAAGTAACTAACATGCCAGCAGCAAAAGAAGGATAAGGTGTGATGAGAGTAAGCCGAGTTGCGCGAAATGTCTTCGATCTGGATGGATATGTGACTACGGTGCTGCATCGGCCTCTTCCGAGAGTGAATCCTCCCCAGCTACGATATCAGGATCATCAGCTCTCTTGCCCATTGCCAGCTACTCCATCCCATTCAAGATTCCCGGAAGCCAGAAAGACCGGAGACTCCTCCACTACTTCTGTGTCCAAGGATCGGAGGATATCTCTGGGTTTCTGGCATCGGACTTCTGGTCTCAAACCGTACTCCAGGCTGGACACGAAGACCTAGTGGTGCGGCAGGCCCTGGTTGCAATGAGCTCACTCCACCTAGACTACATATCGTCAAGTCCTGAAAGAGCATCGGCGGCCAGTCCCGAAACCTTAAGTCTGTACGGCAAAGCTCTACGATCACTGGGGAAGCGGATAGCCCAACCATCAGATGGCACTACAAGGACTGCTTTGGTCTGTTGTATTTTGTTCTATTGCTGTGAAAGCGCCATTGGTGACCGCAATGCGGCACTCCAACATCTAAGCAACGGTCTCAAACTCCTGGTGTCTGCTCAACGTGAAAAAGTCGCCGATGAGTCCAAGGGCATCGAGAGCTTGACCACTATCTTCGAGCGCCTGGACATGCAAGCCAGTTTCTTCGAAGATGACCGGTTACCAATTCTTGCTTCACCCGAGTACAAATATGAAGAGCCAGATCATGGTCTGTTGCCGCCGGGGGAAGTCTTCTTGGGGCTGGAAGATGCTCAGCAACGACTAGTTAAACTTCAAGCATGGTTGTATCATTTTGTCAACAAGAACGCCGAATTCTATCAGGAATCGAAGGAGTCGCTGAGCTTGGACATCTTGGAAGAGAGGTCTTCTTTAGAGCAAGGGTACAATGCCTGGATTGAAAGCATCAACGAATTCGAGAACAGAGATCAACACGATGGCCAAACCTTGCACGGTATTCGAACACTTCTGGTTCACTTTCACGTTTGCCAAATGATATTGCAATCAAAGTTCCCTCAAGATCACGGCGTGTTTGGTGCTTCGCCTAATCCGGCCGCTCATCACATACTTGATCTGGCTGAGACCTTGCTCGAGCATACTACACAGGTCAACGCCTCCCCCAGTGCTACCAAGACTCCACGGCGCAATTTCTCGCTAGAAACCGGGGTTGTGGCTCCATTGTTCGCACTGGCAATCAAGTGCTCGGACGATTCAGTGGCTACAAGAGCTGCTCAAATGCTTGCCTCATCACACAGAAGGGAGGGTTTGTACGATGCTCAGACCATGTCACATATCATTAATGAGCTAAGAAGGTCACGGGATAGTGCCACGCAGATCAAAGAGGAGAGTAGAGGTGGTATAGAAGCTGTGACTCCACTAGAATATCATATACCTGAGCAGTATGATGGCGGTGGGATAGACAAGCTTCTTTGGTCCATGAGTCTTTGAGATCATTCGCTTCAGGTGTCCCTCAAACACAATTTATCCTCCAGCTAGTATCTAACTCTGCGCTTACGTGATCTGTGATTTCAACCGTTTCCCTGCCCAGTTTGTTGAGCAGTCATTACAATTCGGTTCCTTGCTGTGCGGCGTAGCTGAATGGTCGTAAGCCCTAGTATGAAACGAGCGTATTCCGTTTATTCGTGAGGCAGAAATAGGTTTCTGCCTTGTCTGGAGTCATGAATTTGCAATTGCTTCCCACTCGTATGCCGATGATGGTGGTACGCCCCTGACTGTGGATGAGATGCATGGTCCAATGAGGATGGTCATTGTGAAGGAACAAGGCTGACTGAAAAAGCAGACACCTCTGGAGTTACCCAACGACTGGTATCAGCCCAAATGCGGGGAAAGCATGGATGATTTGGCTTGTGACTTCTGCACAGCCGAGCAACTTTCAAATAACAACGGAATGGTGGGCCTATTAATTGGCGCTCAGGTCACTGTCACTTGCAGTTCATCTTTGACTTACTTCTGGTTCGAATCCTTTAATGTTCATTTCACGTAACCTTGGGCTTCATCATCAAACATCCCCGTTGTTGAAAGCAACAACAATGGCAGACAACCCGGACATTACAGAGGATGGAGACGCAATTATCGACGCCTGTGCATACCACAGGACGGAATTCGACAGGGTCCTAATAAGAACGAATGAGCGAAAGATCGATGCACCATTTCTGCTATCTACCCCGGACAGCGTCTCATCTTCAGGCCTCGGTATCTTGAGTCGACTACCCGAGGAGTTGACTCTGATGATACTTCGAGAACTTGACATTCTCTCATATCTGCGTTTCCGGCGCGTAAATAACCGTGCACGCAGCATAACGACAGCATCGCGCGAGTACAAAACTGTGGTGAAGCATGGACTTCAGGGACTGAAACCACTGCTAAAGGCAGAGCTCGGTCAGGTTTTCACCATCGCCCATTTTTATCAGACGCTCGTCAGCAACCAGTGCGAGTTTTGTGGAAAGTTTGCAACATTCCTATACCTTATTACTTGCCAGCGATGCTGCTTCACTTGTCTGCAAATCTCTGTCGACCTGCATGTTCTCCCTATCCCGGTACCCAAAGTGTTCACAAAAGCCGTGCACAGCTCAAGTAAGGAGATTGAAAACATGTGTGGACCTAAACTTCGAGTGGTCTACGGCAAATACTCTCTACAGCCGTGGCCTAGTGTCAAGAGACCCAGATACCTTGTACAGGCCAAGCCTGTTGTTGAGAAGCTCAGATCTCTTGATTCTTCTCGAAGAATCCCAAAGTCGGTACTATCACATCAACCGCAAAGTCAATCTCACGACGAAATAAGACACGACTTTTGCTACCGGTATATGGCTGCTGCCGCCTTGCCATGGTATGATATGAGTAATGACAGGGTGGAATCAGGGGTGAATTGCAAAGGATGTCAGTTCCGCGTTGAAGAGTATGAACGCACGAACAGACTTCAAGACCCTCCATGGGGTTTCAATGATAGGGATCGGGTGTACTCGCGGCAGGAGTTCTTATGTCATTTCGAATCTTGTGCGCATGCCCAGAACGTATGGGCTGACACCCAAGTGAACCGACTGGCGCCAGAATCGGATTTCACGCTCCAAGGCGGAATCATGCTGCGTTATGAACCCAGACATGAACTCCATTAAGCTTACCATTCAGAAATATGGCTAAGTGAGGGTTGCCGGGACGGCTTCCGGAATTTTTCCCATGATTCTCCATATCTGCTCGAGTGTTGCAGTGGGTGTAAGCCATTCCGTAGCAAGAAGTCACATGTCAAAGGAACAATAATTGTGGATATCGAAACCCGAGGATATAGTTCTGCAAACACAGTTTGATATCCAACAACATACAAACACATTACAACTACCAAGCATTGCCGGAAGCTTCTCTCCAGAGCTACTCCTGTGGCTTCATCCATAATATACGTCAACGCATTCAGGCATTTTTGAGTGCCTCGTGGATCTCGCTCTTATATCTGGTGTTAATAGCCCGCCGGCTAAGCTTTTGAGTAGCTGTGACAAGGCCCTGTGCAGTTTAGTCAGTAAGACTCACACCTTGGAGTATGGGTAAACCTACGCTTGCTGGAGTCCATTCCTCTGGTGTTATAACTATGCCAGCAACAATCTCGGCACTCGATAGGCCGCCCCGTTTCCCAGCTACCTGCAGATCCTTGAGCAATATCTCCTGAATTCGAGGATCACTGTGCATGCTATGCTCATCAATACCCATCTCGCGAGCCATATGGAGAAGAGAAGTCTCGTTGGGCATCACGACAGCGATAGGTCGAGAGTGCTCAGAATCGGCATAAACCATGACGTTCATTATACCCTGCACGCCGCGATAGATAGCCTCCAGCTTCTCTAGGGCAACATACTCGCCACTGAGTAACTTGACAAGGTTCTTGATGCGGTCGATCACGCGAAGATGGCCATCGGTATCGAACTCGCCAACGTCTCCGGTTTGGAACCAACCATCTTCAGTAAAGCTTTTGTTGGTTTCTTCCTCATTCTCATAGTATCCCAACATAACGGCGCCACCCTTGATCAAGATCTCACCTTGCGGTATCTTTGTATCGGCAGAATAGCCGAATTCGGGTACAGATACCAACTTGACCTCGATGGATCCCGGGATTGTACCGATCGAATGGAGGGTAAACTCAAGAGGGGATCCTAATGATCCGTTTGCACAGGTTTCAGTCAGACCATAACCTGTGAACATCGGGGCAAGAACGAGGGATAGGAAGTGTTTCGTCGACAGAGAGATGGCGCTTCCACCATTGAAAAGGAATCGGATTCTGCCGCCAGTCATCTCTCGAACCTTTCCAAACACGATGCTATCAAGCAGACAAGCCCCAGGTAGCTTGTGCTTGACCATGAAGCTCTTGTATGCAAAGGCACGCCAGAACAAGGTTCGCAGAAGCACGCTTGCGTTGAGTTGAGCCATGACACCTTTTCTGATAGTCTCGTACACTTGCGGAACACCGGGCATGATTGTAGGTGCCAGTTCACGCATGTCTCCAGCGCAGTTTCTCACAGACGTATCGGACAGGGTCCGTGGATTACCGTAGCCAATAGCGCCGCCAAAATAGTAACCGAGGTTTTCGAGAGCCATTTCCAAGACATGGGCAAGCGGAAGATATGCAAGCAAGATGTCGTTGTGAGTGACACAGTCGGAGACGCACGTGTAAAGACCGGCAACTAGAATGTTCATCAGCAACGAGCATCGAGAAGAATACGGAGGTCATCTTACTGCCTGCAATGAGGTTGCGGTGCGAAATGCGCACGCCCTTCGGAACGCCCCCAGAGCCTGAAGTGTACATGACGCAGTACAAATCATCGGGTTCGGGGTAAACAGGATCTACCATTTCGCTCTCACCAGCCTTAAAAAGATCATCGAAGCTAATCACTTTGACCTTTGGATGTGAGGTCTTGAACTCTTCCAGGAGTTCCGACCCGCCGAAGATGGATGCTTCATTCACAATCAAAGTGTGAACCTTTGACCTCTTGAGAGGCTCTGATGCTGTTTTGAGTAGATATGGGTCGATATACATGACCTCAGCTTGGGTTTGGACGAGACTGTGCTCAAGGCCACTCGATCCAAGGGAGTCGTAGGCTGTGATGATTGACATGGACTGGGTAGCGCAAGCATGCGATGTAGCGATCCATTGCGCACTGAGTCGAGCTGATCAGATTGTAACAAAACGCTCTGGGGAGGATGCTCATACCTTGTGGACCCGAACAGAAATACTTTATCACCTCGGCCAAGTCCTAACTTTCGTAGGCCTGAGCCGACTTCAAGACAGTGCTTCTCATACTGCTTGTACGTCAAGAAAGAAAAGCCAGATAACTCGAAGTATGTCCATTCCTTTTCCACCTTCTGCACCTTTCCGTCTACTTTCTTGTCGAACTGATATGTTCCTTTGTGAAGCTGAATCAGCTTTCTAGAACCAACAGCATTGCTTTCGGGGAATAGTCGTGCGCTGCGGCGAATGATGTCGAAGACAGTGCGAACATCTTCTGATGGGCGTTCAATCAGGCCATCACGTGCCCTTGGGTGTCGACGGGGAACAGTTTCATTCGCCTTCTTCTCATATCCAGGCGATTCGATGGTGAAAGGTGGTTTGAACACCTGATATAAAGGCGTAATGCCTGAGGTATGCGCCATTCTATCGCAGGGCTACTAGCAGGATGCAGGTACAAAAGGCTTTAAGGGAGATGATTGTAAAATTCTGACAAGCCTGCGGTGTCGGGAGGCGAATATGCCGCAAGACATGAGATCTGAGAACGTTGACGTTGGGACTGTTGGCTCCATAAAGCCAACTCACAGTCATCAGCACCCAACAAAATGTTATCCCCGAACATTTTGTTGGCGGCTTATCCCTGCGTCCGATCCTGTCTTACTCTCCACTCTGACGTGGGACATCTGACCAACCTCCAACGCGTGGTCAATGCTGTTGTCGCTCATCGACGCGTAAGTCTTCATTGTTTGCTGTGAGTCTCACACATGTGTCATGGCTAAGCCAGGTTAGGTGCCACGTCTGACACGCTGACACAGTAATTTATCCCCCTAGCCAATTGCCTGGCGGGTCAGGTTATAGCACTCGGCAATGCAATAATAAGCTGACTGGCGGCTGTTTGGATCACTGAACTCCTCCGGCCATGATTTGTTGCCAGTATCTTCAAGTTATCCTGTCGGTTTTTCTTATTGACAAGGAGTGTCTGCAAAGTATGGGCAAGGCAGAAGATGCGCTTTAACGATAGAGTATTGGCCGATATAACTAAGTTCCTTTGTTGAAGAAGGGCATAAGTACGGTGACATCTGGATCCAATAGATTCAGGCTGCTAGATGGATATATTATGCGTGAGTTGTTCCTTCTGATACAATCTGTCAGCCAGTTCCATTAAATACACTATCCTTTACATCCTTATCCTGCATGCTCTTAATAACATTAACTAGGGCCTTAAGTAATCAAAACAGTAAACTTAAAGCTAAAGTATAGGATATTATTTTATACTTATAGCAATTTAAGCTTAAATTACTATTTAGTGTATATATTAATATAAAACCCTTAAATAGATATAACTTTAAAGGTTTTTTAAAAGCCTTTTTAAAATAGTATTTATTTTTTTAATTTATTTTAATTTATAAATTAAATATAAATAATTTATATTATATATTATAAGGTTTTAATTTTAATTTTAAAATTATTATATTAATTTTAAAATAAATCCTTAAAGTAGTTATAAATTATATATTTAATAATTAAAGCTATAAGTCTATTATAGGTTTTTTAATTAATATAATTAATTATATTTTTATTATTTATTAATTAATAAAATTTATAAATTTATAAATATATATTTTATTATAACCCTTATAGTTATATTATATATTATTATAACCCTCATAGTTATATTATATATACCCTATAAAATTCCCTATAAACTCTACTAATTATAAATAGACTAAATAAATCCCTTTTAGTCTATTAAATTTAATTAATTAAGATAAAACTAAAACTCTATAATATTAATTTAAAATTAAATAATTAATATTTTAATCCTTAATAAAAATATTAATAAATACCTTATAAATAATAATATATAGTTTATATTTATTTATACTTTTATAAATTTAATTTACTAGCTATTAATAAAACTTCTTTATATTAATTAAGCTTAATATATATTAAATTTACTATTAAAAAATATAATACCTTAATAATTACTTAATATTATATTTTATATAATYTATTAATAATAAACCTAAATATAGCTTAATTTAATATAATTAAATTTAACTATTATATATTAATAGCTTTTATTTAAATTATATTATATTATATTAAGTAATATAAATATAATAATTATATTAATTTACTTTAAAGAAGTTAGATTATTAATAAAAATAGTAAGGTACTATTAAGTAAAGAAAAAGATAAAAAAGTTATTTAATTTTAATAGTAAGTTATTAATATAACTAATAAAATAATTAAACTTTATTAAATATTTATAGAAACTATAAACCTTTAAGTTTAATAAGTAATTAATAATTAAAATAGACTTTAAGAGATATAAAACCTTATAAATATTATAATAATAAATAAAAATATTAAGAAAATATTTAA